AATAAAATACAGGAAAATGCATCTATATTTATGCATTAGACGGTATTTACATGAGGTCATTTTCAAGGAAATTTTAGACGTGATTAGTTGAATCAAAAGTTGGTTGCTTCCCAACTTCATTGGAAGCGATTAGTTGAATGGCCGTTCACACCAGGCGTTTGTTGTTTTCAACTAAAAGTTGCCTATAAAATCCCCTCATGTGAACACCGATTACTCTTACTGCATTTATTGGGAATGTAAAAGATGGCATTTCTTTTTATTTCACGAGGGCTTAAAAATTTTTAAAGCAACGGAAACAATCGATCGATGTATCGAGGTTTATCTGCCGATGTGTGTTAGCATTGAATTCGATTTCTCCGATGTATCGAAACATCGTTGTCTCGATGTTGCTCCTGATGGTGTTAATGTCATCGGCATACTCCAGCAATTGCTTATTCCACCAAGGTAAATAGTTAGCGCGCAGACCGGAGTTTTGATGCGATGAGCTTAGATATTTTTCATAAAGCCAAAAAGTTAATTCTGGAAGATGCAGATTACAGCGCATAGTGTATCCATGCGAGTTTAGTGAGAACAAGGGGCCTCATGCATAAAAAGTGAGCTTAAGCTCCGACTCGTTTTTCAGTACAAATTCTTGAGCTTGAGCTCACCCTTTCAGTGCAAAAATTGAAACGGCTGATTGGCTTATCCAATTAAATGTTTCTTAGCTAACTTTCGTTTTACCTCCGCTTAGCGGTTGAAAAGGGCACTTTTCTGAAAGGGTTTCAAACGAAAGTTACGCATTTTTATCTTCAAAATCTGAATGTGGAGTAAAAACATGTATGTCTAATTTTAAAAAGAGGACATTTCCCTCAATTTTAGTGGGTGGCCGTGAGTCTAGGACACCCTGTATACCATATCGAGCTCTTTTTGCATTTATACGCAAGCGACAAATTATCGAGACCAATTTTTTGTTGCAAATTGGTTACAAATACTAGTTACAAAGACCTACAAAACCAAAGACTTTAACATTCATACATACATATGTACCATTACGGGAAAAAAGCAAAACAAATTTCGTCGTTTGCTTTGTTTATAGTTTTGCGTTCCTACAATTTTATAGTAAGCCACACTGTGTGTACAGGACTAGGACAGGACAGAACTAGCAAATTCCTGGTGTGCTTCGCTGCGCTTTAAAAGTATTTTAGTGTTCTTACTCCCTCCCAAAACTCGTATGGCTTCATTTAGAAAAAAAATAGATTTGGGGAGATTTTCAAACAAATTTCCGACTCTTCAAACATGTTCATTTTTTATGAAGAAGCGTGATAGTTAATGAATTTTCGAATATATTTAATCCTGTGAATTTAAGTTATACTCTTATAACTCGATTTAACATATTGTGCACTTTCCTCAAAGGGGTATTAATTCAGTATTTAACTTATCAAATAAGTGGCAACCCGTTACAAAAATATTTTTGGCAGTAAACTTTCTTAAACCCATATTGCAATATTTAATTTATCTCATCAATTAAATCAAATGGTGGTAGTTCTTCGACCTTCTAAAAAGGTTGAAACTAGTAACATAATTTTTGAAAGAAACTATTGAAGGAGAGGATTTACAAGGAGTATCAGCTTGATTTTTCCATCCTTTTAATAATGGAATTATTGTATCTTAAATCCCCCGTAATAAAAATAATATCTTTTCATTTTCAAGTATCATTTATAATGGGTTTTCTACAAATTAAAAAAAAAAATGTGTTAAAAATTTTTACTGAATATCGAGCCTTAACCGCCAAAATAACGTAAGCGACATTTTTTTCAAAATTTTCTTTTTGATGCAGAAATGCATCTAGATGCTCTAGGAATATTCCGGCATCAAAAAGAAAATTTTGAAAAAAATGTCGCTTACGTTATTTTGGCGGTTAGGGCTCGATATATTCTTCTCATAAGAATGATATTGTTTTGTTAAAGTGAATAGCTTTACTGCTTGTATCAAATCTTGAAACTCAAAACAAATATAGAATGCATTTAACATATTAATCTTTTATATACATACTATACACTTTGAAATGTAGTTTTAACCAAAGATCCATCGGAACTTGGTTCAACTGAATTCAAAATTGCCATCTTTGCACCATATGGATTCATACTTTCGAAATTATTTCACATTGTCGTTTATCTCCTTTTAAATTGCGTATAGGATTTTGATTTTATCAGTTTTCCTTATCATACCTTTTGCAACTGTCTTCTTATAGAATTGCAGTCATTGATTTTAATCTCTAGATTAAAAGTTTTCGTTTAGCAATTTTTTTCCAACAACTAGGTTTAAAACACACGACGAGTCAAAAAAGAAGATAACAACTGATTTTGAAACTTACCAAAAATCTCCCTAATACGAAGACCTATACTGTTCGAGGATTAAATTTTACTTTTTTCTCATTTCTTAAAAAAAAACACAAAAAATACCAAATAGTGTTGCCAATGTGGTCGTTTCTTGGGTTGTTTGCTTGATAATTGAATGAGCTTTAACACTGCATTTACTAAAGGAACAGTTGTGGACAATCTAGTACATGCACCAAACAGTTAACGTGAATAATGTGTTGAGTTTTTTTTTTGCTGATTGGCAGTATTTATATTTAATTCGCTTAAAATTCAGATTTTTCAAACAATCCCCACAGTATCCGCACGCGTTCCTTTATAAATGCTCAAACTATGCAATATAAAAACTATCGCGCGCGCCAATTCTTTGATAACTTACCTCTTAACATGTTTCAGAAAAAAATTATTAAAATTTACCTTTGTCGCATACGAGAAAATCACAAATAAGGTTACAATGAATATAAAAAAAAATCGTGCAAAGAAGTCTAAGTTCGGGTGAAATCGGACTTTTTGTACAAGTCATATAAAATATAAGGAAAACCTTGAAGGATATTGTTTGATTACAAGATATAAAATATTCCTAGGGGTTGAGAGCATTAAAATTCCAACTTAATAATTTTCACATGCATTTTTGGACCACCCCAATGCACACTCCCATGCACTTAATTAGTTAGTTAGTTAATTTTCTTGGGTGTACTAGAACAACAGGCACCGCGACCTAAAAGATATTTTGTATCTTTTGAAATGAGTCCCTAACCCAGTTTGGCTTAGATACCTTCGGCTTCCCTTAGTTCCTTACAACAAAGTGTTCAACCATTGAAGATTTAAAATGAATCAGTTTTTGTCTGGCTTAAGCCGGACAATGACAGAGAATATGCTCCGAGGTTTCAATATCCTTGAGGAAGAGCCAACATTCCGACTCTGTGATCTCACTTATACGGTGCAAGGGGAATCGCGATTGGTTGTGACTGGCCAGATACCCAGAAATTAGCCTGATGTCATTTCTATTTACTAGGACAATGTCGCTTCTGTTGAAAGGGTAGCCGAAGAGCCTGGCCTGTCTAAGGCCCCCCACCGCTCCCCAGTACTTAATGCATTCCGAGTGTTACCCACTCAGTAATTATGGCTCTCGAAGAGGACCAACTGAGACCACAGAATAGTTCAGGTCCCGAAAAGGCAGTTACCGATCCTTCCCGTGGCAAGTCGTCGGCGATCTCGTTGCCTCGATTCCACAATGGTCTTGTACCGTGCTTTTGGCTGCCAATATTTGTAGCGTATCAAAGCATTCTCTAACCCACTTGGATTTGATAGTCCTGTTTGAAAGGGCCCGGATCAGTGTAAGTCTCTGAGACCAAGTGCAGGGAGCCCATTTGCCCAATTTTCGCGATCGGGGATCATCGCTTGGAATTTTCAGCCAAAGCAGATCTCTTTAGTAATGGGATCAGAGATTCCGCATGTTTTCACCCCTGGTATCTTCCCAGCAATACCTACATGAAGCTTAATTGCGAAGAAGCCGTGGTTCCCACAAGTAACCGGGAAATGGGAAAAGTACACCGCGGCAACCCCAATCCCACGGCAAGTCTGGTTCGGCATATACTGTTCCACCTTGGAGTTGGGGTAATTTATGGGAGAGAGAGACAGCTCAGAAGGCGGTCCGAGCAATGATGTGAGACTAATGTCAGACCCATCACCCTCACTGTCCTCTAAAATCAGCCTCTTCTCCCGAGAGTTTTCTTCTCTCCGCCCGACCTAGTGGTAGTAGCACTATAGCCGGAGACATGACCGTAGCTCGTTTTCAGCAAAATCCCCCCACGTGGAGAGTCTAACCGCAACCCCAAAGGAGTGACGACCGTCCGTAACCCTGTCGGCTGACGGCCTCCCATGCACTTGTATAGGGAACAATGCCCTTTCGTTTTATTCCTGGCTATTTTTCTCTTATTTGATTCAATAATTTTTAGCCGATTTTTTTGTTACGGGATAAATTTGGACCCCGTGAAAAGTTTTCGGTTATTAATTTGCTATCAGAAAGGTTGTACCTCAAGAGTAGTTCCATGCTAATTTGGTTTAGTTCTGATCTTGACATCATAAAGAAATTATATTTTAAGTCGGTTGTATTTTTTGACTTGTTTCCAACAAAGTTTGATTTATATGGTTTTTGTTAAAGAATAAACTGTATTAAATTGATGAAATTTATTTACATAAAAACTAACCCAGAAAAAATCGTAAAATCATTGTCCCTATTCAAGTGCATGGGTGTGCGTAAGTCCCTAAGCCTCTGTCGACCTCAATCGAAATTTTAAATATTTCTCACTCTAGGAATACGTAAACTGTTCGTGAGGAGTGAAGAGTTTATGTTGCCCTCCATTGCTTGCAGCCATTTTTCTGCTAGATATGCATAAGTCCAAGTACATAAATACATATGTATATATGTATGTTTATGTGTAAATCAAAATCATGACATGGTAAAATATCGTTCATAATTTTCTTTAAGTATTCATTAATATGTCCACGCGACTATAATAATTTTCATTGTTTTCACAACTGCGCTCCACTTATTATACCAAAATTATACATAAGTATGTATGTATGTATGTTGATGCATAAAAAAATTTATTTTGTTTTCATTTAAATTTCTCTGATCCGCAGCAATCCCATACGCTGGAGCGGTCGGCATGACGTCAATCACTATTGCAGCGAATGCGGCTGTTACATTGGGCGATATATAACGTTGAGTTGGTACAAGAAGCAGTTGTTCAAAATGCAACGATCTGATGTGGTATTCGAAAATAGGTGGCAACGTTTTCGTAAAGTTGAGAAGGAAACACTCGATAATAAAATATTGGCCAAACAGCAGGCGAGGGAGCAATTGAAATCCAAGACGACAACGAATGCTTGAAATAGTGGAAAGGAAAATTATTTATTACATTTATTTTTATAAACTTCGTATGTCTTTAAAGCAAAAAATTAAATCAACGTGAAACGTGTAAAATTTATACCAAAAAATATTTTTCTCGCTAGGTTTTCAACTTTAAGAAGCATTTTCTTTCAAATTTAAAATCTAGTTTTACATTTTTAATCTAAAGAGCTACTATTTTGTTTTGAAATGTATCCACTTTGATATAAACTTAAACTTATAAAAATATAATTTCATTTTCGTTTCAAGTTTAATCTATGATTTATTTATAACTTCATAATGTTTCAATTTTAATTTTGAAGTAATTTTTGCTCTTAGCCCTTTGGCGACCGTTACTGATTAGTTGGGAAATTCAAAGATATGACACTTGATTCGAGTTCAGCGAACCCATATTCTAAGCAAAAGTTTCGCCAAAAAAAATTTTTTTTTTACCTGCTAAGGTGTGGAAAAAGGTGGGACCTATATGTTCCCATGGTCGTCAATGGTGAAAATTTATACAACGTTTTTTTCTATTCCTAGCAGAGAAGCTCGGCCAAACACTAACATATGTGTAAGCGCCAATCTATTATTATTATTAGCAGACTTTCGATTGAAAAGAATTGTTTACGCGAGTGCTTTTTGGCAAATAATCGGTTACTATTGCACATTGGTTTATATTTTATACATTTATCGATTTTAATTAATTTTTCGTCATACAGTATTCCATATAGACAAAACAAAAAAATTTAAATATGCCTCTTTGACCATTAGTTTGAATCTACTAGTTGATATTTTGTCACAGTTGTCGTTTTCGTTAGCCCAAATGAAATGCAGTTTCAATATTTTCTTATAGTGGAAAGTATTTTCAAGGCACATAAAATAAAATAACGAGAAAAACTAAATCCAAGCAAATTAGGCGTGAAGCGTAAGCGGTTACGACCGGATGCAGCTCCTACAAAGGTCATAGCATGTTACGAACACAACTTTGAGTAAATAATGATGGGCTAACTTTGGAAAATGGTCCCATCGATTAGGGGCTAAAACAAGTATTACTTAGCTTAAAGGTAGATCTCTCTTATTTTCAAATAGGTATACCATTCTTATAGTGGAGACCTTCATAGCTTGTATAAAATATGTACACAAAATTATATCCCGAGGCTCGAACAAATGCTCGAAATTTGTAGGTATTTTTTCAGCCGCTTATTCACATTTGAAAGAGGATAATGCATTATTTAATGCAAATAAAGACGAATTATGCAGATAAGCGAGCCCGTTATCAACAGTATAAAATGTATGCAAATGTATATATGAAAATATTCAGAATGACGAGATGAATTGGCTCAGTCGTGGGCTTGTATTGAATTTTAATTAATTTCATTAAACACGCATACATATATATGTATTTAAAAATGTTTCTTTAAGAATTCGAATTTGAAGTACGAGTACGTAGCATTTGCATATACAATATCCAGTGGCGGACCCACGGCGGGTGTTTTAACACCAGAAACTTACGAACAGAAATCCTCTACTCCACAGGAACGCTGCTTGCTTCACCGGCTACTACAGAAGGCAGTATTACGCGCTCCGTACAATGGCTCTCTTACTTACATATAAATTAAATGAAACTCGTAATGTAACGGGTGATTTTTTTGAGGTTAGGATTTTCATGCATTAGTATTTGACAGATCACGTGGGATTTCAGACATGGTGTCAAAGAGAAAGATGCTCAGTATGCTTTGACATTTCATCATGAATAGACTTACTAACGAGCAACGCTTGCAAATCATTGAATTTTATTACCAAAATCAGTGTTCGGTTCGCAATGTGTTTCGCAAACCCAATTGCTGCGAACGGCGACGAATCGACATTTCACGGTCTTCAGCAACACTCTCAGAAACAGACGCAATATTCTCTTCTGTACGCACTGTACGCATTCGTGTGGTTGGTTTAATGTCCAATAAAGTAAACTGAGTGCGAAACTTGGTCACAATCGCATTAATTGTTTGCTCACTTGGTCGATTATGTAGACCATAAATCGGACGTAAAGCGAACCGAACACTGATTTTGGTAATAAAATTCAATGATTTGCAAGCGTTGCTCGTTAGTAAGTCTATTCATGATGAAATGTCAAAGCATACTGAGCATCTTTCTCTTTGACACCATGTCTGAAATCCCACGTGATCTGTCAAATACTAATGCATGAAAATCCTAACCTCAAAAAAATCACCCGTTACTTAATCATATAACTATTTTATCCTACTAAAAATCTAAAAGGACTTTAAAGCAGCTATGTTGAACTGCATTATACTTGCCATATATGCTGACTTATTCCCTTTGGTAACTAACCGATTCACTTATGATGCCCGTAAACGATTGTGGCATCTTCGATTTGTGCATTATTTGCTTTTTACCGCTGTGCAACTCCTGCTTGCAAGCAAGTTTTTCGTAGGCATCTCTGCTCCATGAATGATAGCTTTGTATTCTGAAAATTATGGCATACCTTGAAGCTGCTTTGTTGGGACGGTCAGAGTACAAGATTCCGAGCATCCAGGTCGCTGGTATTTGCTTTGGCGATTGGAACGGTCGAGGCTACAGTCCGCTCCTACACTTTATTGGTGGTGATTATGTTGGGCAGGCTATCTTAAGGCATAAGTTTCTAAGGGATCTAAGCCTGTAAAATAAATAATATGTGAATGTCCAAACATAATTCAAAAATGCAAAATAAACAAATCCAAACAATTGGTTTGTTTATAACCATTCAAGAATTGTTATTTAACAGATGGAGCGTGTAGCTCNGTGTTAATTTATTTCATAAGTCTGGCAATATCAAAATATTGTATGTATTGAAATACTACGCATTTGTATGTGCATATATGAAGAACAATAAACTTCACTTGAAGTACGACTTTCAACAGCTATACACGTGTTCTTACTGATAATTATGTTGGGCAGGCTATCTGAAGGCATACGTTTCTAAGAGATCTAAGCCTGTAAAATAAATAATATGTGAATGTCCAAACATAATTCAAAAATGCAAAATAAACAAATGCAAACAATTGGTTTGTTTATACCCATTCAAGAATTGTTATGTAACAGATGGAGCGTGTAGCTCAATTTGTGTAATTCCTTACATGCACGAATAAACATATATGTAAATTAGGGTGGGTCAAATTGTTCGCAATAATCGCATCCGAATAAACATTATGATAAACGCTAGAAAATTATCTTCGATATCCAATGTGCATATCAAATTGAGAACGAACTCATAACCAACCTTAGTTTCCCAACGTTCATACACTGAAAATAAAATTTCGTAAAAGTGCTACGAAAATCTTTCGTAGCCTTGGTTTTTGTACAATGTGTGAAACTTGCGTTCATAATACGAAAACATTTTTCACAACGAAACAAGATTCGTAAATATAACGAAAGGACTTTCGTAAAGCCTTTTTTCAGTACAATTTACGAATTTTTACGTTTATTTTACGAAACACATTCGTAAATTACTGAACAAATCTCTGTACGAATAATTTTGTATATTGTACGAAGGCATTCGTAATATTTACGTATGGTTTTAAAATTTACGAAGTCTATAATTCTGTATTCCTACAATTTACTTAATACTTTCGTGCACAGAACAAATGCAGAAACATTTTTTTTAAATTCGTACAACAGACGAATATTTTCGTACAATATACTAAATTACCGTCAGTTTAATATTTCATCATTGTCAGTGTCATTGCGAAACTACTGGTTAGCTACCGTGAGACGTATAATATAATTTTAATAGTTTTAAGAAGCTTTTGGTGGATGAAAATACAATATAAAATTAAATGTTAAAGCTGTGGATAAATGCTTTTAAGCATACAATGTTCTTAACATCGCCCACGCTGAGCCTTGCTGTGCAATGCGGGACTTCATATATGTATAGGCAATTTCATCAGTTAGCTATAAACGGCAAGCCCAAGCCAGGAACAGACGCACTACTTAATGAAATTTTGTATGATTTTTCACTGAAACTTGCCTTTCAGACGACTTATAATTTTCCTTTAATTTATAGTCGAGAAAGGAAACAAACATCGAAGAAGCTGCGAATCTGCCAAGTACCTCCACATAAAAACATTGCAAAACATTTTGTTAAAGAAAAACGCTTAAAATTAAGAATAAAATTGTTGTGTTATAACTCGTCTTATGTTTTTTACAGTGTGGTGAATGAAAGCAATCGGAAGTTCTACGAAAAAAACCGCAGATTTTAGGAAAATAATTTCGTTAAATATACGAACTATTTTGTGCATTTTACAAAAATTTCGTAAAAAAATAAGGAAATAGTACGAAATTCTTTAGTAAGTAGTACGAAATTCGTTCGTAAATAGTACGAATACGTTCGTAAAATGTACTAAGATCTGATGTCTCATATTTTCGTAGTATGTACGAAAACGGTTTTGTACAATCAACGAAAACTTTCGTGGCGTACATTTTACGAAAGTTTTCGTTATATCTACACAGATTTTATTTTCAGTGTAGAATATTGGAAATACACTCAAGATGAGTTCGGAAAAAATTTAAACCATAGTAACAAGAGATAAAGTGAAATTCTGCTCATTCCCGAAGGGAAATACAAGACCACCACTCTCTCTCATTAAAATTTCAATTGGATAATGGGATGGATTTCGAATTCATAACGAAGGGAAAATAGTTTTCGAATCGAATACTAACCTATTCCACATTTGTTACTGAAGTGGAGACTTGAAAAAAAAAGATTTGAATCGGTTTTGATTTTTGTTTAAAAATTGCTTGTTATAAGAAAAATTAATTTTTCTCAACTTTTTTTTTCGTTTTGCCAGTTTTACAAAATTTTCATAAAAACTCGCTGTTTTATATTTTATAGAATTTTTAATTGATTAAGGCGGAAAAGGTAAATAAAATTTAATATCGTGAAAAGGTATTTTTTTCATTTCCGACCCATGATTTCTTTTAAAATTTCTCTTAAAATTAACTGAAGAATCAGAAATTACCATAAGATTTAGTAAAAAAAAAATTCGCCCACCCTAATGTACATAGATATGTATATCCATTCATAAGCATGTTTGTATATATTCGTGACTTTCCGCACGCGTTTTTTCGCCCATTGGCCCAAAGTAGGGAAGGAAAAATGAAAAAACAACAAATAGAAAAAACCAAAGAAATGCGCACATTGAGTGCCAATGACATCACACTACGAAGCGTGGCGAGAAAAATGATGAATTTTAATCCAAGTGGAGCGACTAAGGGCACACTATCGATGCGCAAGATCATTGAGCGAGAAGAGACGAAAAATTCGCGCTAGTAATTGGAAGAGAGTTCGGCATAGAATGGAAAATTTATACTGCATTGAGTATAGCGTCAATAATTGCTGAAATTATGACTACTCTTCTACTCTCACGTTGATCAGTGTTGATCAGTGATCACTTACATACACATATGCCATCAGCCAGTAATGAATGACTGCCACCCACCAGCAGCTTCATCAGTCAGTGGCCAGCAGTTCACTGCCACCGCTCAAAAGCGCAACAATACTTACAATACTTCCACATATAGCTAAATTTTTTTAAAGTCGATATGGAAACACCACAGCTGGTGAAAGTTAAGCTGCTACCCGCACTAAAGCCCGAGGAGCGCAAGCGGCATATTGTGGCCAATATAGTGCTGGAAGGTCAAACATCAACTGTGCCGTACATCGATGATGCCAATAGTGTAATAAATGTGACACAACTGCAGGCGCTCGACGCTACACCACCCGGGAAGGATGCGCGAAAGCGCATACGATTTTATTCGGTGGGGCCGCGTACCTATCACACCAAATGTCCGCTGTGTCTGCAATATGGTGATGCGGCTGTGATGCGTGCGGCAGGTCTGAAGGATGCAACCTGTTGTCTATCGACGTTGTCATGGTGAGTACTTCAGTGAGGAAATCTTGGGTTTAAGGAGAATAGACGAATTGTTTTCTCTATACGAAGTTTGTAATCGTAAGAACTGTCAGTAGTGAACAAAAACACAATTAAAAGAATTCACAGGTGGTCAGAACGAGGTGTATTATTATAATTTCATACATTTTAAAATGTTAACGCGAACAGAACATTTCTACCAGTTTTTTTAATTTATGGCATCATCAGTTAACATAGCTTGAACGTCCCCTAGTTGTGAAACGTGCCGAAGTTAGTTCTAAACCCAAAAAAATTAATTGTCCCGCTCTTTTCAGACCCACATATTCTCATTCGTATGTAAATATGTCTTAAGCATTTGAATGTTTTTTGTCATAACTGAGTTTAAATATTTGGGTCTAATATTAATACAAGTAAATTTTTTTTCTGCTGAAAAGTTTAAATTTTTTTATATAAAAAACAAATTTAAATATCATAAAGCTCATAAAAACTTTGTTCTAACTATTTCTTAAATTAATTTTGATGTGTGCACAACAAATTTTTGTATTTTAGTTTTCTGGGGCATTATTCATGAAAAGGTTTTAGAAATACTTTTTGTACTTTTAGAGATGTAATGTGTTCAATAAATTAATATTAATAACGTTTTTATCTTTAGAATTTTTTTTTTATTAAAATTTTCTTATTCTCATTTAAAGACTAATGAAAAAAATATTCGAATATTAAAGTTTTTAAAAAATAAGTCAAAACCCTAAAATAGACCTAAAAAACCTAAAATAGATTTAAAAAAACTTAAGATAGAAGTTTTTTAAGTGATATTTAAGTTCTAGTAAATATTTTAAAATAAGTCTATGAAAACAATTAACATTTCCAATCCCCTATTTTTCAGCTTCTTCCCAATTTTCTGGCTTTGCTGTATTTGCACTTGGTGTGGCTGCAATCGTGAATGGACGACGAAAGGCATCTACTGCAGCAAATGTGGTGGCAAATTGGGCATCCAACAGCGGCCTAAATAGGTGTGGTGAAACACTAAAATTTAATAAAATATAACACCGTGCGGCAGTAAATTTTACACACGAAAAAATTAATATATTCACAAAACTTGGGGCCAAATATAGTAAAACTGCGTTTCTAATTTTTGGGTATCAATTAAAAGGAAAAATTCTGTAGAATTAATTAAATTTAATTTTTTGGTGCATCAGGACGAATAAGTGTTGCAAATGTACTTTTAAAACTTTATCCTTGGATATCCTAGGAAGTTTCCAATAATAATATGCTAGCTACCACATCCCCAAATTTCGTCCTTCTAACTTTATTAGTCTTAGATAAAAAATTTACACTTCTCTTTATAAGATATTGATAGTTACAATATACATAAATGAAGATACTGGAATCATTATTATGGAACTATGTATGCGGTCTAAAAGAACAAACTGACCGTATGATGTACCTACGGTTTAAATACTTTAATTCGCTACTTTCACTTAGGCAAGAGTTTATATAGAGGGAAAAAATGTTTTTAATTAATTTTTTTCGTGTATAAAAATAGAAAGTATAAGTTTTCTACATCGATACCACTTTTTAAAAAATCGGTTTTTAATTTTTTTTTTTGTATAAAATAGTTTTTTATAAAAAAAGGTAAGTTTTTTTAAAAAGCGGTCAGTAATTTTTTGTTTAAAGTATTTGTTTTATAAAAAAAGGTATTTTTTTCCTTTTAAATGGTTTTCTCAAATTTTTACATACGAAATATGCAAATCTGCATATCAGAAGAAAGGGAGTTTAATCATGTTTACAACGATATTATTATTTTTTAAATCAGTTCAAAATTGTTTGAAATATAAGGTTGTTAATTTTTCGAAGACCCGTTATAGCACCTGTAATATAAGTTTGCAAAAAAAAGTTATAAACCATTTAAACAAGAGAAGAAAGGCGGACTACGTCTATATTTTTAGTTTTTTAGTTATTTAAATATAATAATAAAAAATAATTTTTACCAAAGGTCCCATTTCGAACTTCGAAGGCCCATATCTCGATTTCGGAGGCTAACTTAGAAAAACGGAGAAATTACTTTTACCTATGACTCAATCTCTTACAAAAAATTGGTTTGGTCCAATACCGAGCCGAGTGCTCTAAAGTGTAATGATTCCAGTATCTTCATTCATGTATATTGCAACTATCAATATCTTATAGAGAAGTGTAAAATTTTTTTTATCTAAAACTAATAAAGTTAGAAGGGCGAAATTCGAAGATCTGGTAGTTTGCATATTAGTCCTTGACATATATTTTTATATATACTCTGCAATGGACCAAATTTTTTAAATAATTTTTTATGCAATCATATCCTAGAAATTTCAAAGTCCTTTAAAAAAATCCTGACGTCAGAGAGAAAAATTAAAAACGTAGTTATACTATATTTGGCTCCTAGTTTTGTGAATACATCGATTTTTTATGTGTTTTAAAAAGTTTGGGTTTTTGCCGCACGGTATAATAGACGTAATGAAATTATAAGTAGTTTTAAATGTAACGAAATTTAATTTATCGACTAATTAAAAGCGAATAAAACCACAAAAGCAATAACAATAAATTAACTATTTAAACAGTGCTACTATTAAATAAAATTTGTTTACAACGCGCGCTTTCACAAATACCTTATTAATAAATCTGGTTGTTAACAAAATTCGCATTTTTCATTGCTCGCGTTAGTTTGTAAATACATATGTAAGTATTACGAAAACATTTCATATATTTGTTTGTTTTCGACGACCTGTTGTCGACCGCAACGTCCACATCATGCTTGATCTTCAAACTCTTAGCGCTCTCAGAGTATCGCTGCGGGTGGCAGATCACTTTCGCTTTTCATCTGCACGCCATCTCTCCCACTCAGTACAACGCGCGCAATCTATACAGCTTTCGCTCGCGCTCACTGCGCCACGATCATTGTTCAACGCATCGCGTCGATTGACTTCAGTACGTTTGCTCTTGTGTCGGATGTGAAATCATAGCGCTCGGCAACTATTTATTAAATTTTATTTTTGTTTTCGTGCCGTAAATTTTACCTAATATATTCAAATACTGTGAAAGTAAAAAAACACATTTTATTTTGAGTTAACACAACGATCGCAAAATGATGACCGAATCCACCTCACCGCCAACAACACCTGCAATAGAAGATAGTAAAAACACAGCAGGTGCTGGGGATAAGAATGCATTAAAGCAGCTGTCGGAAAAGGAACTTAAGGAGCAACAAATTTATAATAATTTCGCCACGCCACTGATTGGCACTTATCTAAATCTGCCGCAAGATCCGGTGAGGCTGAAATGTCCTGCTTGTGGAATTGTTGAAATGACACAAGTTGAAAACGATTTGAAGTGGTGGGCGACGGAGATCAATCGCTTTGTGGGTTGTTTATGGGTGTAAGTTAATAGAAACAAAAAAAAAGAGTAGTAATAAACACAAAATTATTAAAAAAATTTGTCTTTAAAATTTTTTTAATTAATTGAATTTTTTATCCCTGTCTCGATCCGTTTGACATGGTAAGTCCCTCTAATAAAATAAAAATAACACGGCGTAGCAAAATTTGGACTCGCCGTGTAGGTAGAATTTTGATGCTGATTTGAAGTCCATTTACAATTTTTTTTTAGTGCGTCTATTTCTTGTGAAAAAGCTGGAAAGTGACGAAATATGGCATAAATGGAAAATTTCAAAAATTAAAAAAATAGGAATTTGGACGTAGTTTTTCCTGCCAAAAAACGCGTATAAAAGAAAATCGGAATCGTCTCATGGAGTTTACCTTATGTTGATGAATTGAGTAGAAATGAGTTAAAAAATCGCGGAAAAGTAAAAAAAAACAAGTAAAATCAGTTTAAGTTCGGGTGAAGCCGAACAATAAATACCCGCTGCTTTTTTCACCTTTCCGAAAGCTACCGTTACATGGCAAGCAGGCAGTGGTTTTACCCCTTAATCAAACATTTTCGATAGTATGTTTAGTTAGACTTAATGAGATAAACTTGTGTATTTCAGTAAATATTGGATTCAAATAGTTGAAAATTAGGATGTCAAGTAAAATTTTGGTACAAAATAATATTATTATTTTTGTGCAAAGTAGCGTTGAGAAGTTCACGAACTAGTTCGTATAATGAACTAGGCCATTGTATTGATCGAACAAACTAGTCCAAATTTAAAATAACTATTTGCTCTAGGTTCTGTTTTTCTTAAATCTTACACAAATTAAATTATGTATGTGTGTACGTATATGTATTAAGTGGAAGCAAAATGCGAAAGGCCTACGCAGAAAAAAATTTCAATAAATATTGTTATATTAAGATTAAATAGCTTCTAAAAAATTTGAGTAAAAATTAAAAAATTTGATGACTA